TTTAGTAAAATTGTTTAATTAATATTATTAGTTATTATTTAAGTATTTTTGTGATTATTTTACAGACAACAGAAATTAAAATTAACCAGTCTGCTACCAGTGATGAAAAAAATAGTAATAGCTCTAAAACTAATGATAGAGAAAAATTTTATCAGGTTGGATTTTTATAAATTAAATAATGTTTCAAGCCTCATAACTAATAACATGCTGTTTTCTAAAAAAATAATTTTAAGATATTCTATATAAATAGCATTTAAGGATACAAATGATATAAATCTATATCTTTATTTTTTTCAACTAGAATTGTTTTATTTCTTAGATTTATCAAAACAGATCTCATTCAACTTTTTATTTAAAATTTATTGTAAGTTAAAGTTTTTCTTTTAAGTTGTAATGTTGCAAAATACTAATACACTGTGAAATCAAAAAGGAGATATTATAAATAAAGACAATACAAAATAAACGGTATAAAAGTTTTGATCTGTCATTAGAGTTACATTTTGTATGCCTTTGTTTTATATTAAATCCACAGTGAAGAAATGTTGGCACAAGTGTATAATAGCTAATGGAGACTTTTTTGAAGGCGAAAATATTAATGTAGATTAATAATTAAATATTTTATTCAAAAAATATAATTCCNCTAAAAAAATAATTTTAAGATATTCTATATAAATAGCATTTAAGGATACAAATAATATAAATCTATATCTTTATTTTTTTCAACTAGAATTGTTTTATTTCTTAGATTTATCAAAACAGATCTCATTTAACTTTTTATTTAAAATTTATTGTTAGTTAAAGTTTTTCTTTTAAGTTGCAATGTTGCAAAACACTAATACACTGTGAATTCAAAAAGCAGATATTATAAATAAAGACAATACAAAATAAACAGTATAAAAGTTTGGATTTGTCATTAGAGTTACATTGTGTATGCCTTTGTTTTATATTAAATCCACAGCGAAGAAATGTTGGCACAAGTGTATTNTCCACAGTGAAGAAATGTTGGCACAAGTGTATAATAGCTAATGGAGACTTTTTTGAAGGCGAAAATATTAATGTAGATTAATAATTAAATATTTTATTCAAAAAATATAATTCCCATTATTTTCTGCATACACCTTGAATATATATAATTATATTACAATTATATGTGAATTATGATGTATGAGCCTCTTTCATTCACTCTGCGATAAGTCCAAGAAATTGAAGTTTAATTGTTGAAAAAATCTATAAAGTTTGTAACAAAAATCACTATATACTTTTTTGATTAATGACACAATATTATTATTAGTTATTTTTCTAATCCAAATAGATATGGACATTTTGTAATAAATTATTTTTATTTTAGGATAAAATAGAAAAATTAGAATGTGAAATCANTTCTAATCCAAATAGATATGGACATTTTGTAATAAATTATTTTTATTTTAGGATAAAATAGAAAAATTAGAATGTGAAATCAAAAATATAAGAAATGAAGCTTTAGTTGACAAAGAAAAAATTAAAAGTTTGACAACTTCTTTGATATCTGTTACTAAAAGCAAGGACCAACTTAGGTATAATTTTTAGTATAAAAAAGATTTTAATATAATATATATTTCTTATTATAATTCAATAGTACTGTTATCGGTGAATATGAAAAGACAATCTCAGACATGGTAGCCAAAAAAGAGGATGTTCATAAAGAGTATGAAGCACGCATTTCATATATTGAAGATGAAAGGGCTAAAATGGAACGACATTTACAAAATTCAGAAATGGCATTTAATGATGTTCATGAGTAAGTTTCATATATCTATAATTGTTGTTACTAATTATTATTAACATACTGAAAATATAACATGAAATTTAAAATCAAAATATAATTATAAAAATTTTGATAAATAATCTAAATTAAAAAACTTACCAATTGTATTCTACTTTAATTAAATTTATTTTAGCTTCGATGCAAAGCTGAGAAGGTATTAATTTTACTGATGTGTTTTTTTTTTTTTTTTTTTTTTTT